TCAGTTTCTCGAATTATTTATAAATGTTCTGAATAATAGTTTCTTTTACGAATGTCAATCTGACGAGCAATGTCCGGAGATTGTAAAAGAGCTCTCGCAATTCCTCAGATGCGCGGAGGAAAGTGATTTACTCAATAGATTTCTCAAGAAGATCAGCTGTGTAGCCTGGGGACCTGTAGCAATATTTTATATAATACATGCGCTACGAACAATTTCAGACCATGGGATACGACATTCCAATTGGCAGGCTACGGAATTGAACGCTATTAAACTTTTAGTGGAAACGAATCTGAGTATGCACTCTCGTATTCTACGTACTGCATCTCAAATTGAACTCCTGAGAGCAATCCCAAAGTACGTACGACACGTAACGAACAACAATCTATCGTTGCTTGCTAATGTTTTAGCTACATTTCCTTCTGGAGAAGGTTTCACGAGAGCAACAGTTCCTTGGAACAATATCGCGAAATGGTTGGAAGAGGTATTAACGTTGGAAGACGCGATAACTTTCGTGGAGATGACTTGTGCGAAATATAAATATGAAGATTCCAGGACTGAGATAAGTCCTAAAACATTTGCAATAATAGTATATTTGTTGTTCGATGCAAATCTTATATTCTCGTGCAAGATGTGTCCTATCGCAGAAGCATTAATCAATTGGATGAATATCTTAATTAATATCAATGTGCGACCATACGTTGATATCATCTCAAGCATGAATGTAGTAGAATTTGTTTCGCATTTAATGCATCTTTCCCTGAAGAGATCTAACAGTAGTATGACGAACTTTATATCGTCATACGCACACATCACTTTTAATTTTTTAATTAAAAGTATAAGAAAGATATCCGCGGAGTTAACTTACGAAGATTACATAAGATACATGGCCATTGTATCCTCGCATATTGTCAATGCGCCTTTTCTCATGTCAGAAAAGTTTGTAAACACTTATGTAGAAAATTTACAAAACGAAAGTATAAACCTTTTACACGACTTCAAAACACAACGACTACAAAATTTAAATATGCAATATTTGTATGGATTACACATCTTGCATCTCTCTCAGAATGTGTTGATTTTGCCACATGCGGAAACTTTTTATGCAAGGCATTTGTTAAGCATGCAAATGAACATTCATAACGATATTGATGAGGAAAAATATTTAAAGGGAAAAATAGCATCGGAATATTATCTGCTTCTCTTAAAACTTATGCATCAATATCTTACACATGTAAATTCTTTAGCGCCTTCATGTATTCCTATTACCACGATACTGTCTAATTTGTTACAATTCCTCGAGCTGGGCTTACCAGAAAATGTTTCTGAAATTGCAAAGATATTAATAGTAATAAATGATAATAAAATGATAAGCGACGCAAGCGATAGAGAAACTTTGGAATATATTTTTAACTTGAGCTTTACATGTGTCATCAATAGTAAAAAGAACAATATATTTTGGACAGCAATAGAGAATCTCATGGGAGTTATTATTAATAATAATTTCTTACTTTTGCCTAATGGCGTACAATTCATGAAAGGAGTAAGTTGAAAATTTGTGTTTTAATATTTTTGAAATATTGACCATTTATGATTATTTGACTTCGCAGTATGTCGTTAAATTACTAAATGAAGGAGAGAATACACCGAGATTTAAAAGGATAATGCTCTCTAAAATGAAAAATTTGGACATACATAATTTGATGAAATTAGAAAATGTGTTAAGAAATTGTTTCCTTCATGGTTCTGTATGTCGTCGTGACAAAAAAATAGAAAATTATGCTCATTTGTTTATTATCAAGCAATTGAGTCCAGTCTATTATCCAAAGCATATCGTCACGTTGTAAGCATCTATCAATATTCATTTTAAATACACAACTTATTGTTAAAATTAATTCAAAGCAATTTGTAAATATATAAATTTGTAAATAATTAATAGAACATTAACATTTTTATTAATAGGGATTATAATAATGATGCCGCAATTAGGGCACAGGCGATTATATTGTTACATAGAATAATTAATAATTCAGAATCAAATTATGCAGCAACATTTGTACGATTAATACTCGATGCATTAGAAAAGAACAAAACCAAGAGATATTTTAAAGACTCGCCATTACACAAATTAAAACACAGAATAATGCAAGTCTTATTGATATTAGAGCCAGTGTTGAATAAGGTAAGCTAAGGTCTTATTAGTAATTAAATTTTATTTTTACTTCGATTAAGAAATTAATAGATAATTGCATTATTTCTATAGGAATTTGTTCTTCTACTACAGGAACAATTATGTGATTTTATTTTTTCGGAAAGTAATCAGTCTAGCGTGAAAATAATGCAGGAATGGTTACTGATACGAATCTTCACGAAAAATATTCATCTACATGATAAACTATGGTCATTTTTTGCAAAGGTAATCTTGTAAAAAATATTTCTCTATTTGCTTCACAGAACATATATATTTCCAGAGTATAAAAGACCGACCGAGATGTACGATTTCTGTGGCAAGCATTGTCTATCATGTCGCGAAACTTCTTTCATATGATAATCAGAAAACTTATATTCAAACAGCCTTACCATATATAGCGCAATGTTGTTTAGGACAGCAATTTAATGTGCGTGTTTATAATCAGGCAAGTAAAAACTTAAAACGATATATATATATATATATATATATATGATATTAACATATTAGAAATATAATATATAAACAAATATATCTCGATTTTACTAATTTTTTAATTTTTTTTCTGTAGTTCATTTTAACACAATTATGTGATTTAATGAAAGCAAACTATGGGGATAATAGCATATCAGAGTACAAAGGTATATATCAAGCGGCTATGACTGGATTGAAACAAGAAAATTTGACAAAAAATTCAACCAAAATACAGGATGATTTTTATTTTTCCAATTTTCATCCGTTCAATGATTACTGCTTGGAGGTATACACTACACGTTTGCCTTCAAGGCAAAGAATTGAATTTGTCAGTATTGATGTACTGACATATTTTTTAACATTTATAGACAATTTATTATCAATTGCCGCGCTTGACTAATGTAAGTTGTGATGAATGGATTACTCCGGATGTGTTTAAAGATTTAATATTCGAGGAAAATGATTATCATCCTCTACAGCTTTATAACAAGAATTCATTTGTGACTGAGAATACACTCTCCACATATCTGACAAAATTTTTCGCAGGTAAATTAACGTAACAAAATATCACGTTATGGAATGTAAAATAATAACGTTTTACAGGTGATGCACTCACCGAATTATCAGAGAATAATGTTGAAACTTACACAAAGGATTTATATGACATCCAAAAAAAAATTGATCCGTCAAAACCTAAAGATTTATGTGGTGATATCTTTGAAATAATGAACGAATTCACATGTCTGCAAGATAATCAGTTGCAGGAAGGTCTAATAGTTGTAGCATCTTTTGTTAATCGATCACCGAATTTAGGTGGCATCGCTAGGACGTGCGAGATATTTGGAGTTAAAGTACTAGTCGTTGCCAATGCGGATTGCGTAAATGACAAAGAGTTTCAGTATCTCAGTGTGTCTGCTGATAAATGGTTAAATATACTACAGGTATCTAAACAGCTTATTTCTCAAATCAATATTTGTCAAACAGTGAACTTTCCGCACAGCTTGATATAACCAATCTTCATTTTTTAAATCAGAACATAGTCTATCTCCTAAAAATGTATTAAAAAATATATTAAGGACACATAAACAATAGTAAGATGAAGTAGATCACGTAAATAAATATCACAAATAAATTTTAAGAGCGCCTTCTACGGTCGAGGCTGGATCTTGGTGTTTAATAAAATTTCTATATGAATTTTAAGTTCACTATTCAGCCTTTTTAAACTATATTAATTCCAAATTAATTCAATTTAGAAATGTTTAAAATCTTTTTTAGTTCTTTATTTATCAAGTTTATCAACTCAAATTTCTCGACGAATACTACAGTACTTTGAAATCCTTAGGTGAAGCCGCATGAGTTACAGAAATTCTTGGTGGACAGAAAAAATGCAGGATGGTCTTTAATTGGGATAGAACAAACGGTCAATAGCGTAAATCTGATGGCGACAACATTCGAAAAAAAGACAATTCTTGTTCTAGGGTAATTAAATTCCGACTCGTGATTTCGAGATTAGTATAATTAAAAGAATCTGTTTTTGTAGGAATGAGAAGAATGGCATGCCAGCGAATTTCATACCTCTCTTTGACAAATGTGTAGAAATCCCTCAAGTTGGTGTAACACGATCATTAAATGTTCATGTTACTGCTGCAATTTGTATATGGCAATACGCAAGCCAACACGTGTTAAAATAATGATTTTTCTACAATTGTAAAAACAAAGTGACGATATTAAATAAATGTATTTTCAACAAAATAAAAAGATTTGCTACATTGTAACACTTGTTTGAAAAAGAAATGATTTCGATTTACATTTTTGTATATTTATGAGCAGGTCTACAATTTATACAGGATTATCTATATTATACAATGTACTTATACTTTGTATCCAACAATATGCCGTTTTCCGATACATTCTCCAACAAAGAACCAGCAATAAATTTCGGCAGCCACTAAAGTATTTATAATACCCTCGCGCACAGTGACATCACGATAGCGACCAGTCCGTGCAGCATGAATCAGCTTTGAAAATCCACTACGAATCGCAGGGATGTCCTTTAGAGAGGGTGGCGTCAGTTCTACTTTGGCATATTGCAACCATACTTGCAGCACAGGTTTTGCGTGAGTAATACCAACTGTAATTTATATATTATTAAGTTTAATTCTTTAAATACAAATCTCATGTGTGTTACACACACATATGTGTACAGTGAGGGGTAAAAGTTCCAAAATGATCAATTATCTCAGAAAATATTGGTTTAATAAAAAAATGTTTCAAGTAAAAATTGTAGGGTTTAAGAAAATCTATTAGCTGATATTTATTTGAGCTTTGGTTGATCTTGAAAAGTGCAGTTAAGATCAACATAAAAATCTTAAAATAGAAATACCTACTTTTCATATTCTTTTAACTGATGTTGAAAGTTTTTTAAAACAGTTATGATGAAATTATTTTTCATTAAATACTTTTCGAGTTATAAGAATTGAAAATTACAATACCGCTGATATTTGGAATAAAAAATACAATGGGAGTAACAAACTATAAGGTTCTTATCTTTGTTGTGACATTCCTACATACATACATACACAAGATATAAATCTGATTGGATAACCACGTGCTGTGTCTTGGATAATGCTAATGCCAGAGATATTGTAATTTTCAAGTCTTATAATTCAAAAAGTACTTAATGAAAAATAACTTTATTATAATATTTTGAAAAGCTTTTATCATCACAAGAATATGCAGTAAAAAGTAGAGTATTCCATTTAAAATTTTTATATTTCATATTATATTTTGGCTCCTTTCAAAATTATCTAAAACTCAAATAAATATCAGCAGCTAATAGATCTTTTAAACCTTACAATTTTTGTTTAAAACATTTTTTCATTAAACCAATACTTTCTGAAATAATTGACCATTTTGGAATTTTTGTCCCTCTCTGTATATATGTTGCTAAATATAATATATGTACATATAATAAAAGTCAAAATATAGATGGTGAAAGCAAGAATTCATATTCCTAACAAGATTACAATTGAAGTAAATAACAAAATTTGAAGTAAATTTTTCTTGTTAATTTATAACATCGTTATATAATTATTAAAATTTTAAGTTGATTTCTTTAATCATCACAGTATAAGGCATTAAATATTTCATGGTAAACAATAAAGCAAATTTTAAATTAAAAACATATTTGCGTTCTTAAAATTTAATTTATTTTCAAAGAAATTTAAATTTATATGTTTATCTTATTCCTCTCATTAGAAATTTGGTGTTTGTCTATTCCTATGTTCTGTCAAAAAACATAAAAGACATAACCTCCACAAAGTATAAAATTTAACCATCAAAAAGATTTAGCGATTCAATAAAATATTTGATGCAAGTATCAATACTAAACTTTTGTTATGAAATTTATGCGTGTAAGTTATTTCATGAAAGTTTGACACGGAAAAACGTTACATAATGCAACGCACGAATTATAAAGGTTAAGAATATTACTTGAAATAATTGTATAATAAACATGTAATAAAATATTTAAAAAATTGTCCGTACGTTTTGCCAATTCCGTCGATTTTGTAACAAGCCGTGCCATCATCTGCCTATTTTATTTCTTAAGAAGAAAGAATTAAACGAATATCCTTCTTCTTCCTCTTCTTTCACTTAAGGCTTCCGTTCCCACCAGGAACGATACAGTCGGTGTCCACACCCGCAACCGCCGTTTAAGGCGAGTCCATAGGCACGTCAACGAAATTAGGGTTCCTGCACATTGGACGCGGAAACGCTTGCCGCGCGGGAAGACACAACGCGGTAGCCAATAGACGTGTCATCTTTCTTTAGGAGCTGTAAGTTTATTGGCGTACGTTCCACTAAAGGCCGAGACACAGACTTTTGCATAACGCTGCATAACGCATAAGACGTAAAGCATAAGAGAATCAACCAATCAAAGTCCTTCATTTCATACTCTGATTGGTTGATTTTCTTATGCCTTATGTCTTATGCGTTATGCAGCGTTATGCAAAAGTCTGTGTCTCGGCCTTTAACGTTCACAATGACCACGACTACGATCGCAATATTTGCCGTTCCATTTGCTTATGAGTAGAAAAGCAGACGACGAAACGACCGCGCCGACCCACCTACGAATCATGAGCGTCGTGAGCTCAATCTGCGCCTAGAGACACTATAACAAGAGACTGGCCAGCTTTCTAATTGGATAGAAAATGGCGGACATAAAGTCTTACTTTGAAATGTGTAGGTGTGTAGGCCGAGACACATACTTTTGCATAACCAATCAGAGGATGAAAACTAGTGTATTACTAGTCACAGA